CATTGATGAAAAAGACTCCACCCTTCTTATGTTGGACACTGTCAATTATTGTTGCGTATGCTGTTCTTTGGCAGGTAGCAATTTTGGCTTGTTAACTGAATCTTTTTGGTTAAGAGCTTGAATATCTTAAGCGGTCTCACGCAGAACCTCACGAGTAAGGAAGGCCAAATGGTGGAAGCTCTTTTCCTCCCAGAGACAATACTTTGTCCTCAATGGCAATAAGAGCCAAGTTAAAAATGGCATCATTGTAGGTAACTTCTATATTGGGATTTTGTAGTTGAGCATGGTGTTTGAAGTCTTCTGACAGACCTTCTCTGTGATTTTGCCACAGGTCAACTGGATTTGAAACACCACAAACTTACAACAAACAAACTTCCGAGGTTGGCTGGTGACTGTGAGACTGCTGCTTCTGTCAGAGTGGACTTCCACTGTGCATCGTTTTTCAAGGCCTTGATTGAAACACACCTATATATAGGTGGCACAGAGCTGACTTTGGACAATACTCAAATCCTCAAAAGATGTCAGGCCTCTCACATCATGAAGCAGCATACAAAGGTAAAAGCACTCTTGCTGGCTGGGATGAACAGTATAAGCCCTTGCCAAGGCTTCATCTTTAAAAACTCTAGGATGACCATCTATAGGAGTACCTCTTTTTTTTTTTCTCCTACTCCATTTGTTGTTGCTCCAAGTGTAAAAAGATGGGACCTCAGAATAAAGTAATGTGCATGCAAAGGGATCTTCTTGGCAAAAGTTGAAGAATCTAGTCAGTGTTTTATTTTTTGGAGCCAATGCTTGTTGCAAAGCATTTTCTTTAGTAAAGTAGACTCTCTGTCCGGTTTCTTGGTGGACACTAAGTTGTTGATGGTGGGATGTCGTTAATGAATTGGAATTCCTAAAATGTGCCAAAATGCTTCATTGCTACTAATGTACCTTCCCAGTTGGAACTGGGTCACTTCATCATTTGTGTTTTGGTCTTGAAGAGCATACAAAGTGTCAGGTCCCTTGACATACTTGCACACATATTTGATTGACTTGACTGAGTTACAAAACTAAACAATGATGTGTGCATCAAAGGCCTTTGACAACAGGGGACAATAAGACACTATCCATCAATTGTCAATGTCAACATCCTCATTCTCATCATGGTTGTAAATTCTCCATCTTCAGGCTTTCTTTTTCTGTAGAGAGGATAACCATCTTTGCCTGTTTGGGTCTCTTTTATCAGTTGCCTGGGATACCTTTTCACACATTTTCCGTTTCCCATGCATGATAAAGTTGGATTTAAAGGCCCACATGGTCCATGAATCATTGTTCTTTTGATGGTGTTAAAGAGGCTTTGGTCATTTATAGGGTCTGGAAGCTCTGCAGAGATAATTGAATCTATTTGATTAGATTGGATTTTTGCTTTTAGCTAGATGAGAATATGTGCATGAGGATGGCCTCTTTTTTTTGCCACTCTAAAGTGTACATGTCGCATCATGTAGGGCCAAAGATTTCATACTCCTTTTTGATGAATGTTTGTCGAAAAACTCTGGCCAACAAATGTTGTCAGTCCTTTGCAGACTGTGCTGGGAAAAGCTCATCATTCACCTCTTTCCAAGAAGCATTACAGGTAAAAGTGATGAAGAGATCTGGTATTCCATAAGTTCTGACATAGGTCATGGCATATTGAGTTTGTTCATGCATGTATCTTGGGCTTCCTGTGGAAGTGGATGGAAGAATGCACAGCTGACCAATGCCTCTGCCTCCATCATTGTTGATGCTATCTCTGAGATGAATGTAGGAGTCAACACGCAGTTCTTATTGGTGAGTTTTTATGTACATCAACCTTTCTGTCTCCACCTTGGCAAGCATATTAACAGCATACTGTTGGAACAGATCTTGACAATGTTGCAAATGGTTGAAGTAATTATTTCGAATCATGAAGTTGTAGGCTTAGAAATCCATGCATGACACAGTTTTTGTTTCTTGAGCTTGTGTAATTCCGAAGTGGTATCCATCTTCTCCATGCACACAGATAAGCAAATACTGAAGAGCATCATAAGATCTATGTGTCTCATTTATCCTCTTTATAGTGTTATCTCAAAGTCTTAAGACAGTGTCTTTTTTTCCATGTTCCTGGCCATTCATGACCAAGGCAACCTCATTGTAAGTTAGCTTATTGAATCAATCACAACGTTCTCCATATAGTCGTTTATCAGCACTGATCACTATTTGGTAGTCCAAAGTAGTAGAACTTTCAAGTGCGTATTTAAAGCTTTGTACGTAACTGTTAGTGGTATGGATCATCTTCTGGAGTAGCAGTATGAGATAAAGTCTGGTACCCCTCATGTAGTTGCATTGATATTCTGCTTGTTTTTGCATATTTCCCACAAAATAGAGTTGTAGAATCTGTGGATGTTTGTCTGCATGAGGTTGTAGTGATCCAATGCGATGGTAGATTTGTCCCTGTACTTTAAATGTTGGTATAAATCCCCCTTTGGGGATGATGTTGGCTCCAAAAGATGTCATTTGAAATGCTGAGTTGTAGGCTCTGTGATCATCTTTAGGAAATGTTTTGAATCTAGTGTGTCACCTAGGAGCAGCATTTTCAATGGTTGTGGTGGCTCGGCTAGTAGAGGTAAGCTAACTTTACCATTGGAACAACACATTGATGGTGTTTCACGTTTCCACTTCTTTGCTCCACAATGTTGGCATATTTCTGACATGGAACCAATTTTGACTGCATTTATAGAAGAATAGTCAATGTTAAATGAGTAATTGAATGCAGCATTTAGCATATTGGCCACAGTAAATAGTGATGACCTTTGCCTGTCAGTTCTTGTGCGCATTGTTTGGAGTCTTGCTTGTTCATCCTCAGCAGACTCTTGTTGTCTGGTTTATGAATGCCTGGTGGCATCAGCAGTGAGGCAAGGCTGATGCTGTTCTTCTGTTTCCTGCAGTCTGCTCTCTGCTTTTCTGGAGGCCTGAGCACTCAGGCAAACCTGATGCTGCTCTTCTGTTTCCTGCAGCCTGCTCTGTGCTTAAGGCCTGAGAACTGAGGTGGGTCTGGCGCTGCTCTTCTGTTTTCCGATGCTTACTATGTGCCTGTCTGGAGGCTTGTGCACTGATGCGAGATTGATGTTTCTCAGCTGTCTCTTGATCCCTTGTTTCTCAAACTCTACGAACTTTTGAAGAACTTCTGCCAGTATTTTTTTCGTTTCTTTGGTCCCATCTTGAGGTGGAGTTTCGTATTATAGTGGTGTACAGCAGTGGCATTTATTGAACAATCACGGCTGGAAGTTTAACGAATCTGAAACAGAAAATTGAATACAGGCCTTATATAGCTTGAGTTGCTATGCTCAAGTAGTATGGAGAGATCTCTAGAATCTTCTAGAAATTTTGAAATCAGTAGTGACAATTTAAATCAGTGGATGGGAAATGAGCAGGGGGATGAATAGCTGTTATGCAAACTGAACATGTTTGGGCAGTTGTAGTATGTTTGAAATTGATTTTCATAGTGTTTTCACCAATTTTTGATGATGAAGACTAATTTTCACCAGTTTTTGCCTTATTTTGTTTCCCTGCGCCCTCAGATGGCCTAGAACGTGAAATCCAATGTGTTCATGACATTCTGGATGAACCTAATGAACCTATTTTGACATTGTAGAGTGGTCCATATCGATTTTTATTCGGAACAGACAAACATACATTCACAAATATATAATAGACTAGTCGACTAAAACACAGCCAAGATAAGTTACTTTGTACAGACCAAAGGTCACCTTTATGTTATTGGATATGGTAACATAAGCGCACGTGAGCCACGTCAGTGTAATTTCTGTATTGTTAGCCAGGCACGGGTGAAAGGTCAACATAAAAAAAAAAATATATATATATATATATATATA